AAGACTGCTACCATATATATATATATATATATATATATATATATATATATATATATATATATATATATATATATATATATATATATATATATATATTTATAACTGAAAACTCACACCCCAGTTGCATATAGTCCTGGGGACCATTCAGGCTTGTTCGCATATATATATATATATCAACTGAAAACTCCTCACCATTCTGCCTGTAGGACGGCAGGCAGGTTAGTGGCATGAAGGGGCAGACAACTGTGTCGTTAGTGAGTCAGTAGCCACCAGACTGGACGACCTGGTTGTGCCTGAGCCTTCACTAAACAAGGTCAACTGGTGCCCAAAGCAGCCTGGCCAACTATAAGTCTACGGCTACGTGTAAATAAATACTTGAGGACGACTTTTCCGAATGGTAATACCTGCTAATGGACAAATAATAAAAAAATCCACCCCCCCCCCAAATGATTCAATATAGAATAATTTGTAAGCAGAATTTAAGCAAAACAGGAAAATAAGCGAATATATATCTTTTTAGTAGGTGGAGATGCAGTGCGAGGCTGCATCTGGCCCTTGTCAACGTCTGGTGGAGACGCAGTGCGAGGATGCATCTGGCACTTGTCAACGTCTGGTGGAGTTGCAGTGCGAGGCTGCACCTGGCACTTGTCAATGCCTGGTGGAGACGCAGTGCAAGGCTGCATCTGGCACTTGTCAACGTCTGGTGGAGTTGCAGTGCGAGGCTGCATCTGGCACTTGTCAATGCCTGGTGGAGACGCAGTGCGAAGCTGCATCTGGCCCTTGTCAACGTCTGGTGGAGACGCAGTGCGAGGATGCATCTGGCCCTTGTCAACGTCTGGTGGAGACGCAGTGCGAGGATGCATCTGGCCCTTGTCAACGTCTGGTGGAGACGCAGTGCGAGGCTGCATCTGGCACTTGTCAACGCCTGGTGAAGACGCAGTGCGAGGCTGCATCTGGCACTTGTCAACGTCTGGTGGAGACGCAGTGCGAGGCTGCATCTGGCACTTGTCAACGCCTGGTGGAGACGCAGTGCGAGGCTACATCTGGCAATTGTCAACGTCTGGTGGAGACGCAGTGCGAGGCTGCATCTGGCAATTGTCAACGCCTGGTGGAGACGCAGTGCGAGGATGCATCTGGCCCTTGTCAACGTCTGGTGGAGACGCAGTGCGAGGCTGCATCTGGCAATTGTCAACGTCTGGTGGAGACGCAGTGCGAGGCTGCATCTGGCACTTGTCAACGCCTGGTGGAGACGCAGTGCGAGGATGCATCTGGCACTTGTCAACGTCTGGTGGAGACGCAGTGCGAGGCTGCATCTGGCACTTGTCAACGCCTGGTGGAGACGCAGTGCGAGGCTGCATCTGGCAATTGTCAACGTCTGGTGGAGACGCAGTGCGAGGCTGCATCTGGCACTTGTCAACGTCTGGTGGAGACGCAGTGCGAGGCTGCATCTGGCAATTGTCAACGTCTGGTGGAGACGCAGTGCGAGGCTGCATCTGGCAATTGTCAACGCCTGGTGGAGACGCAGTGCGAGGATGCATCTAGCCCTTGTCAACGTCTGGTGGAGACGCAGTGCGAGGCTGCATCTGGCAATTGTCAACGTCTGGTGGAGACGTAGTGCGAGTCTGCTTCTGGCAATTGCCAACGTGTGGTGGAGACGCAGTGCGAGGATGCATCTGGCACTTGTCAACGTCTGGTGGAGACGCAGTGCGAGGCTGCATCTGGCACTTGTCAACGCCTGGTGGAGACGCATTGCCAGGCTGCATCTGGCAATTGTCCACGCCTGGTGGAGACGTAGTGCGAGGCTGTATCTGGCAATTGTCCACGCCTGTCAAAAATCAAAATCACACTTTGTCTTCGTGACTATCCCGTTATATATACAACAATTTATTTTACTCTGTTGTGTAGCTTGAGCGAAGTGCTTAGGACTTTGTTTTATTGATCAGAATATTGAAATAAGGAAAATAATGAATATATCCATCTGGAATATATTATTAAAAAATAACTACTTGGATATACATACATTAAAGAAATCTTTGAAAATCACAAGTGTTAGATTTATTTGATCACACATTAAAAAAAAATTCTAGGCAACGTATCACTAAATTCTGTACCACAATGAATGAAGTTAAGAAGGTATGAAATGGAACAGGGGACAAATGACACTCACTGACTCAGATCCGTTAGTGTGGCATCCTCACTCATCTTAGTGTTTATAGCAACCCCCACCCTCACTCACCTCTAGAGTTACCCCTCCCTCACTCACCTCTTGGGTTATCCCTCCCACACTCACCTCTAGAGTTACCCCCTCACTCACTCACCTCTAGAGTTACCCCTCCCACACTCACCTCTTGGGTTATCCCTCCCTCACTCACCTCTAGAGTTACCCCACCCTCACTCACCTCTAGAGTTACCCCTCCCACACTCACCTCTTGGGTTATCCCTCCCACACTCACCTCTAGAGTTACCCCCTCACTCACTCACCTCTAGAGTTACCCCTCCCTCACTCACCTCTTGGGTTATCCCTCCCTCACTCACCTCTAGAGTTACCCCGGTAGTGTAATCCTTTACACTACCGCCCACGGGATGTGTATTATGGGGTGCATAATAAAGAAAGAAAATGAATGGACCGAACCCCACAAATCATTTAGCTAAGCAAGTTACAATCTTGATGAGCTAGTTACAAAATTCACTATAAGTCGTCACATCATAAATGGGTTCGAGATGGACCACAAGTAGTGCATTACATAATTTATCAGTATTGTGCAGCCTGTGATCCCCGCCTGGCTGGATACTGATACCTAGGTAATTTTTATGTGTCCGGACACCGGCGATAAGGTGATATTATTTATTTAACTTAAGATATATATATTTTTAAATGTTGTCACATTAACGGCTACATCTTCCTTTCTTCTGACATATAGATTTTTAAGATTAATTAAAATATATGGAAACTAATTATACAATTTATTGGCTGGTGTGCAGGGCTTCACACTCTCAGAGCTAGCCATCAAGTAACTATCAAAACGCATATATCTTCGTTTTCACTTCAGTTATATTTATGACAAAGGATTTTAGATGTAGCCTATATTTCTACCTTTCAGATGACATAAATACTTTCGTTAATTACAATATCTAGATCAAACTAACATTGATTTTCAAAAGGTTGTAGATTTTCCATCAATGGAGAGCATCAGCCAAGAAGCCTTCTTTAAAATATGAATATCTTTCCTCACCCAATAAGATCTAATCTCTGAATAAAACGCAAAAAACGACTTGATTGTAACCTATCCACCGCTGCCCATTGGATGGGGGAGAGGGGGTTATGTGTAGGATAAACAAATCAATTGTGACACTAGCCCTCCATATATGTCAGTTGCTTAAATTATAAACTGTACTTGTGGTCGGTCTCGAGCCCATTGTTGATTTGACAATGTGCATTGACTTTTGTAACTAGCTTATCAAGATTATAACTTCCTTGGCTATATGAATTGTGGGGCTCAGTCCCTGAGCCCATTATGCGCCTCTGTAACACTCCACTATCGCCCATAGGATGGGTATGGGGTGCATAATAAATGAACTAAAATAAGCTCTGCCTTTTTGATAACATATACAATTATAAGCTTTATTTGTGAATCTCAATTAATTAAGCAATATATCACAGAGCCTGTAGGGTTCGGTGAGATGAGCGAAGAGACATGGGAGATTTCACATAAGTACAGTACATGGTAGTTTAAGTAGCGAACGCATGTCAACGAATAACGAGTATATATAACAACACTATTGTCCTATGAAGTCGATTTAACTTCCAAACATATATTTTTTTAATAAATGTTAAATGTTTTCTGGCTAGCTATGTTAGATTTTATTAAAAATACGTATTCTACTTGTTAACATTATAATTTAAATTTGTGATAATTTGTGCAGAGAAGTGCGACAACTGGATATGCCAACAAACACTTTCCAAACAACGATATATCTTGGATAAGTCGTTCCACAACATTGACGCTTGGACCGTCGACTTCCTTTGATGCTACTTATTTACTTATTTAATAATGAAATTATATTAGTTTGGAGTAAATATATGTTTTCTCATGTTCTGCATTCAGCACCCACATTATAGTAAATATACCATATTACTTCATTACTTAAATAATGCTAGGAGGGTTTGAGTAGCTTTGGGTCGTTAGTGGACAGAATCTCCAATAGATGGGGCGAGAGTCGCTCCCTCTCTCTCGCCCGAGCATTGTCGAAACTTAATTTAAAATTGATATATCTTTGTTCTCGAACATGATATATTTCATTTGGTAAAATCATAATAATGTTCATATCTCGGTCTTTCTGGAGGCATATAAGATTTTAGGCTTTATTAGCGTATCTTTGATAATTATACAATATATCGGCAAGTGCGTAGGCGTCTGCACTCCATGCCGGACAAGCTACTGAGCGCTACTATAAAAACATATGTATCTTCACTTGAGCTATAAATATGTCTATTGTAATGTATTGAAAATGAAGCTCTTATTTCTATCTTGCTTAAGACATATAAAACATTTGTGTTTATTAACGAATTTACGTGAAATAAACATTGATCTGAGAGAGAGTTGCTCTGTCGTTCAGTCTGTACGGGGTGGGAGCTCCGTAATTTTTAAAATACATGTATCTTCATTAGAACTTTAAATATGTCTATGGTAAAGTGTTTAAAGTGAAGCTTATATGTCTGCCTTTCTTGAGACATATAAAACATATATGTTTATTAACGAATTCACGTGAAATAAACATTGTTCTGAGAGAGAGTTGCTCGGTCGATCAATCTGTCCGGGGTAAAAGCTCGGCTATTATAAAAGTACACGTATCTTCGCTTTAAATTTAAATATGCCCATGGTAAGGTATTTAGAATGAAGCTTATATTTCTATCTTTCTTGTGACATATAAAACTCTTACGTTTATTAAGGAATCTGTGTGAAATAGGCATGGTTCTGAGATGAATGCTGCGGTTTTCGAGCTCGACGCGCGGCAATGGACGCCTTAAACATCCAGTGGGTGTTATTGGACCCTATACCCATTTTATTTGTGGTTGGAGCCCCATACCCATCCTGTGGGTTGTAGTGGACGCCATACTCATTCTGTGGGTGGTATTGGACCCCATACCCTTCCTATGGGTGGATGTGATCCCCATACTCATCCTGTGGGTGGATGTGACCCTCATACCCATCCTGTGGGTGGTATTGGACCCCTTTCCCACCTAACAGGCGGTAGGTGACAATATACCCATCCTAGCTATAGTTGGTATAGTAGACACAATACCGTCCTGTTTGCAGTAGTTTACCCCATAGACATTCAAATGTAACATCGTTTTCTGTTAGCGTTCCTACAAAACATTCTTTAAAGATTTTTAAAGCCAAACTATGGTATATAATATTGATTGGTGAAGCACTGTTATTCTATGTAATAATTTATAGTGCTTATTATAATTTACTAAGAACAACTAATATTTCTCAAAACAAAACTACGAGCCTTCAATAGGATATAGCTGATCTGTAATATTATAAGAGCATGGACAACAGTAGGTAAATTTCACAACCCATGTGGGACCTGAAAACTACAATTTTCCTTATAATTGAACCAATCACGAATATTCTGCTATCTATGTTGTCGGACGGGTACTGTGACACGTAAATTGGTACGTGAGGAAGAGTTTGGGCCTTGGTAAAAAAAGTAACTGGGAATATATCACATATTTACTAATTCATATTCAACATATTGACTTTAAGCATTAAGTCATATATGTGCTGTCTTGTGTGAGAACGGGTTGACCCCACCCTCACTCACCTCTAGAGTTACCCCTCCCACACTCACCTCTTGGGTTATCCCTCCCACACTCACCTCTAGAGTTACCCCCTCACTCACTCACCTCTAGAGCTACCCCACCCTCACTCACCTCTAGAGCTACCCCACCCTCACTCACCTCTAGAGCTACCACACCCTCACTCACCTCTAGGGTTACCCCACCTTCACTCACCTCTAGAGTCCGAGGGTGTATTGGGACTCACTGTGTTCTAAGCTTGGACCACCTCTCTTAACGTGGAAAGACGAAGCTTGACTTTCGTAAACTGAATACCCAATGACAAAGTCACAACATAAACATACACACCCATTGACAAAGTCACAACATAAACATAGACACCCATTAACAAAGTCACAACATAAACATAGACACCCATTAACAAAGTCACAACGTAGATATACACACCCAATGACAGTCACAACAACATAGTGTCACGGTTCCTTTTTCCTTATATAGTTAGGCTTATTCCCGCGGGTCTTTGCTTCCCTGTATCTGGGTGCTCGCCCTGAGAACCCCCCCCAGTCTACCAAGGGCTGAGACACTACCTATGCCCCGGCCTTGAGAGTGGGGAAATCCAACCATACCTCTGTTACTCTCGGTTGAATTTACTCATCATAACACTGGGAAAATACACAGGTGAATTCTTACCACTTTACCCTCT